CCTATTATTGAGTGAGTTTGTAATTCCAGTAGGATTGCCCTTGCAATAGCAGGGATACATTTGGAGAAAATGTATGTGCCCTTTGGAATAGACTCAAAGGAAATTTTCCTGGATCTATAAAGGGATCACCTATGGTACAAAGGCCCTCAGAGAGAAATTTTGGTGTGTCTTGTGTACAATAAGACCTTCAGAAATTTTTGTTCTGATAAATTTTTAACCATTGGCTCTCTGGGGTGGGGAGAATGTATGCATGATACACTTTTAAGTTTAATCTGCAATATTAACATTTTCTCCCTCATTTTCTAAGGTCTAGGCAATCAACAAAACCATAAATCAAATCCTGATTTGCAACATTTGCCAATTTCTGAGATGTCAATACACACACTGAACATTAACAACCAGTTCCTATCTGCTGGTTTGAACTGTCTGCTTCTAGGCATGTCAGGTTCCTAATCCCCTTATGGAGAGAGTCCCATGGGGCTTTGGGATTGTGGTAGGGACTCACATCTGCTGAAATGGGAAGTTTGATTTTCTTTTTTTTTGGAGTTACTCAATGATTAAACCTGCCCTGTGAGTTTGGGTCCAGAACAGAAGTAGGTAGGGCCTAAGGGAAAAGGGAGAGGATACAATGTAAGGTTTTTATGCTATGATATATAAAAACCATGCTAAGAGTGAGCCCACTCTCCCTAGAGACTAAAATGAAGTAGGGGAGACTGAGCCCCTCACATATTGGGGGAAATGTACCCCAATGTACCCTTTAAGATGGGGAGTAGGTTGCAGACACCAAGTCAAGTCGATTTGGTTTCTCACCTGAAGGAGAAGGGACAACTTCTAATCAACCTCAGGTCCCTAAATCTCTTTGGGCAGAGTTCCACGTTCTGGGAAGTTCTGTATAAGTTTTCTTTAAGTCAGGAAGCTGGTTTTCTATCATTTTTTTTCTTTTCTTTATGAAATATCAAAAAACATACGCAGAAGAGAATTCAGAAGGGGGAACAAGGGTCAGCTAGGTGGTGCAGTAGATAGAGCTCCAGCCTTGGAGTCAGGAGGACCTGAGTTCAAATCCAGCCTCAGACACTTGAAACTTAGTAGCTGTGTGACCCTGGGCAAGTCACTTAACCCTGATTGCCTCACCAAAAAAAAAAAAAAGAAATACACAGAAGGGGGAACAGACAAGCAGGGCAGTATTGGTACTTATGTGTTAAGTTTAATATATAACAAGCTGTATGTAAAAGAGATTCAGTTTCATATATGATCCTTTTTTCTGTTCATTGTATATGGAAATGCTCATGGTTGTTGTTCATTAAGTTTGTAATTAACTTTTTTTAAAAGAAATTACTATATAAAAAGGCATGAATTTAAGAAAAGGAAAACAAAACCCTTGGAAACAAAAGAAACCTCCTATAACAATATAGGAAATAAACTTAAGAAAATACACTTACACCCTCTACTAAGCAACACTCTTCTGAGGGTTACTTACAATGCACTCTCTTCTCTTAGTAAATTCAGATGCTTTTCTGTGCTGAGGACAGCTGTCTTCCTACTGCCCTCTGCTGGCGAAGTGACTCCAAGCTGAACTATAACTTCTATGGGGTAAAAAGGGCTTCATCTAAGGATGACAACATTTAGGGAAGCAGGCAGGACTTGTTTCCTCCCCATGCTGGATTATTCTGGTCTTGCCTCTTAGTCCTTCACCAATCTACACTGCCATGAAGGGCAACCACCTCCAGCCCCTTATCAGGGTGCCCCTCTGCCAGGGCCTCCCTGCCCGGGATACTCTCTGGTATCCTAAGAAGGAGCCACCTCCCTCTCCTAATATAACTACACTTATATCCTCAACCCTTCTTCCTCTTTCCTACTCGCCCACCCAACCTGATTTTGTCCCAGGTGGAAGAAATGCTAGCTTTAGCTCTGTTAGCAATGGCCTCGTAGTCTCCGGAGTTCCATGTTGTACCTGGCAGGTATATAACCAGAAAGACAGCCTCAGGCAGTGAAATGTGTGCTGGATTTATCATCGGAGGACCTGGGTTCAAATTCCAGCTTTTTCACTTACTATCCGTGAGACCTTGGGCCAGTTACTTAATTGCATTTTAACCTCTCTGGGACTTGCCTCTGTAAAATGAGGAAGTTGACCTAGGCAGTCTCTGAAGCTTCTTTCAGCTCTAGATGGAAAATCCTATCCCTGGCTCATTGTGATGTTCCTTTAGATCCCCTGGCTTTCAGCAGGGACTTCCTTCTTTTTTACACACACACTTTCAGTATCCCTAACCACTGTCCTTGCCGCCAAAGGGAAAGACCCCAGAGCTCCTCTTCTTGTGCTGCAGAAGATACAGTTCTCCCTGGGACACATCCCATTTCTAGTGATGGTACCAGATCCTTTCAACAAGAGGAGGATTCTTCTTTGCCACAGCAGTCATCCCCTGGCCTCACAAAAGCTTTCTGGGGAAAAGCCTGCAATTAGGGCAGCAGTATGATGTAGTGGCTAGAGTACTGAACTTGGAATTGGAAGACTTGAGTTCAAATTCTTTGTCTGGTAGATGTAGAACCATGAGCAAGTTGCTAAACTTCTTTGAGACTTAATTTCCTTATCTGTAAAATGGAACAAGAGGTGTAGTAGATTAAGAGCTGGCCTCAGGGTCAGGATTAACTCTGACACATACTGACTGTATAACCCTGGGCAAGTCACTTAACTCCTCAGCGCTCTCAGTCAACTCTTTTAGATTATAAATTGCAATGCAGGTGCCAACTTGATCAAGGAATTCCTCATAACAATAAAATCATAGATAGAGTTCTGTGTTCTCCCACTTCCCTTTAAAGGGAAGAAAATCTATAGTATCTATCTCAAAGGATTGTTATGAGGCTAAAATGAAATTATATATGTAAAGCCCTATGTAAATGTCAAGAGCAAGTAAGTGGTACAAGGGATAGAGAACTGGGCCTGAAACCAGGAAGATTCACCTTCCTGAGTTCAAATCTGCCCTCAGACACTTACTAGTTGTGTGACCCTGGGCAAGTCACTTAACCTTGTTGGCCTCAGTTCTACATCTGTAAAATGAGCTGGAGAAAGAAATGGTAAACCACTCTAGCATCTCTGCCAAGAAAACCCCAAAATGAGGTCACAGAGAGTCGGATGTGACTCAACAACAATATAAAAGTCAACTATTATACTTTCCAGCTCCAGGGAAATTGTAGTCACCTACTTCTGATTCAGATTAAATTTTAGGAGATTTGGATGTCCTGGGGCTGAAAGGAGAGGATAGGTACAGGCGAGGAATTTTGCAGGATGATTCCCTCCCCACTATTTGTAATAGTGAATGATGCTAGAAAGGGGACCTGTTTATTGAAATACTCTAGAGGAATGATGTCCAACTCAAATAGAAACGAGGGCTACTGAGTCACATGTGAGGATCCCTGTGAGCTGCATTTTGACTTAGTCTTAAATTTTATTATCTACTTTAATGTATTTTTATCTTTTTTGTTAAATATTTCCCAATTACATTTTAATTTGGTTTAGAGCAGCAGTCAGGAGTGTTGTGGACCGCAGAGAAGAGTAAGGGGCAGGCATCAGGAACTAGGAAGAAGGCTGTTGTGGTTGAAAGCCAGCCCAGATAATGTTGAGTGTGCACTGAAGCAAGGAAAGGCAGACATTATAAGAAGCATGAAATTTCAGATAAGCCTTTGGTGTGAGAAGTGCAGGAGAGCAGAGCCGCCGGACTTGAGGGATTACCAAGGAGTAGTATCCTCTGGATGTTCAGCCTGATGTTTGAGGGCATGGCCTTGGGATCAGAGATGCAGAGTTGGAAGGGACCTTAGAAGCCATTCTATCCAATGTAATTTTATGGATGAGGAAACTGAGGCAAATAGAAGTTAAGTGACTTGCCTAGGGTCACACAGCTAGTAAGTGCCTGAAACAGGATTTGAACCCAGGTCTTTTTGACCCTAATCCAGTGTCCTATCCACTACACCATTAGTAATGCTGATAGCCTGGTTGCTAGTACATATACCAATACAGAGTTAGCAATGATGAGAACCGTAAGATTAGAACCTTTCTCTTAGGGTATAGCTGAGTTGTGGGAACAACTGAGCTCTCCTCCAGAATTCTGTTTGCTTCTAAAGGAGAGAGTGCCCATGGGGGCAATGAGCAATCTCACATGTGGTGATTGTAAATTGGAATGTCTTTATGCTCTCTGGCATCTGGGGAGGGACAACTTCTACCCAAGGGATCTTCCCAAAGAATCGCAGAGTTAGAAGGAACTTCAGAGGCCTTTCATTCTGATCCATACCTGAACAGAACTCTTTATCATATGGTTGTCCAGCATTTCCTTCAAAATCTCCAGTTGGGAGGGAGCCCCTTCCTCCTAATGCAGCCCGTTCGACTTTAAGGAAGCCCTAATTGTTAAGAAACTTTTCCTTATTTCAAACTTAAATCTGCCTTTTTGCAACTTCTCTCTGTTGTTTGTAACTCTTCCTTTGGGAGCCAAACAGAACTAGTCTAAACTCTCTTCTATAGGACAGCCTTTAAAATCCTCGAAGACCATTGTCATGACCTTCCTAAGTTTATCTTCTTCAGAGTCAACCATCCGCAATTCCTTCGACTGTGCTTCATATGACATGATCTCCAGGCCTTTCACTATCCTGGCCCTCTGCCACTGGATGCTCTCCACCTTATTAATGTCTTTTCTAAAACGTGGGAGTCAGAACTGAAGACACTACTCTAAATGTGTTCTGGCCACAGGAGAGCACAGAGGGACTGTCAGCTCCCTAACCCTAAACACTCTGCTTCCTTCTCAAATCACTGAAATACTGGATTAGCTTCTTGGCTGTCATATCACACCAATGACTCATATTGAGGTTGCTGTGACAGTAAAATCCCAAGAGCTTTTGCAAACAAGTTGCTATTTATCTATTGCTCAAGAGGCAGCAAGCACCCCCATTTCTTTCTAATTAGCTTTTTTAAACAATTCCTGGAATGATTTAAATCATCCCAGGCTGTTGACAATCTCTACTGGTTAACAGGCCTTCCTAAATTGTGGGATCCATGCTTTTTCCCAATTATCAGGCCTACAACATTCACTTGGGGAAATGGGAGGAGAGGGAGAGAAGCAAAGATCCTGGCACCCACTATGAGAGGAAGAAATGAGTGAATAGGTATATATCTTTTCATGAAAGAAAATAGTTTCTTTCTATCATAGCTCTTGAATTCAGCTTGCCTAAGACCTGAGGACTTCTAAATTCAAGTTCCCTTGACTTACTCTCAGAAGGATTTGTCTGCTCTATTGTCTTCTCTGACAATATCACCCATCAATCATCCATTCTTATCAAGAGGAAAGCATCAGGACTACCCTCTTTGGTCCTCCAGGAGTGACAGGTACTACTATGTTTCCTTCTCACCTCTGTTTAAATGTGAATTTCTTTTTTTAATATATATATATCTTAAGGAAAATGTTCAGCTTAGAAGCCAAAGAAAAGGCCGGAATAAAAATATCCTCAAGAGACTCCAAGTCTCTAATCATAAGAGACATGCAAACTATAACAACCCCAAGTTATTCCCCCAACCCTCAGATTGGCAAAAATGAGAAAAGACAAAATTTTTAGTTGCTGGAGGGGCTATGGGAAGTCAAGCACGTTAATACATTATTAATGCAGTAGGACAATCTCATTTGACCCTCATAACAACCTTTTGAGATAGATATTATGGATTTTATTCTCTTTGGGTGGGTGGGGGGGGGGGAGAGGGAAGCCAATCTATGATTTTTATTGTTATAGGCAACTGTTAGACAAGTAAACTCATCAACTATGTCATTTCTTAGGAAGAAGACACAGGAGGGCTTCTTGCATCTCTCTCACTAGCAGGTTCACTTTGGATGCAGTCAGACAGGAAGATGGGAATGGAGTCATAATAAGGGGTTAAATAAGCTTACTTTATTCTAGTCTAGTCTTCTTAAAGGGAGTTTGCTGATAATGGGAGCACCAACTCCTAACATTCCCTAACAACCCTTCTCGCAGGGGCCAACATGAAGGGGGTGCAACTACTCCTGTCTTGAAGGGGTCAATTGAGACAAGCACAACTTGTGTTCTCCCCTAAATCCCCACAAGCCTCCATGGGGGCTGGTTGAGGCAAACACACAGATTCCCCCTCCCAAGCCGTGATGGGGGCCGATCAAGGCACACACAGCATTCAGGCTGCACATTCACCCCTATGGGGGCCCCCGGTCATTGAACAGTGCCCACTTGCTTTATAGGGCAACAGACAAAGAAGCCACATTGCCAGCAGTAGCCTCACAATTTTACATTACTTCACCCCTATATCTACTGTGACTGTGCAGTAGAAACTGTTTTGAACCATGACTGTGAGAATTCCTATCTAACACCTGGAAAGTAGAGATTGTTATGGCTATGGATCCTGGGAAGAAAATGCTAAAAAAAAAAATCCACTTTACACACACTAAAATTCACCTTACTTACCAGAACCTCTGATAAAGACATTTCCTCAATAATCAAGGCAGATTGGCGCCTGCTCTGAAATTCATAGTTTGAGAGAGAAACCTGAGGGCACTGACTTCCCCAGAGTCAAGGAGTCAGTGTTTGTCAGAGGCAAGACTTGAATCCAGGCCTTCCTGACACTGACCTCAAGGAGATTATAGTCTATCAGGGAGACAACCTGTACACAGCTCGGTGTATTAAAAATACATACAAGTGGGGCACCTAGATGGTGCAGTGGATAGAGCACCGGCCCCGGAGTCAGGACGACCTGAATTCAAATCTGGCCTCGGGCACATAACTCTTACCAGCTGTGTGTTTCTGGCAAGTCACTTAACCCCAATTGCCTCACCAAAAAAAAAAAAAATCATCTAATATAAATCCAAAGTGATTGGGAGGAGGGTGAATGAACGAATAAATAAATGAATGAATGAAAAACCATTTAACTGCTTTCTATTTGCCAGGCACTACACTGAGGGCTGGGAATACCAAATCAAGCAAACAAGACAGTCTCTGCCCTTAAGGACCTAACATTCTAATAAGAAAAGATGGGACAGAAAAAGGAGTCAAAGTTGGAAGAATGTGAGTGGAGGCATGACTTGGAAAGGCTTGGGGAGTATCTGGTGGCCTGATGCCAGACGAGGTAAGGTTCAAATCCACCTATCAGAGCCCAGAGTGCCAGGGGCAGAGTCCAAGTTCTCTTGGGAGGATGGAGGTCAGGGTACAGGTGACATGCTTCTTATAAGGCTGGAAAGGTGCTAGCACTTGACGGGGGGGAGGATTAGGAAAGGCTTCATGTAGAAGGTAGAAGGAAAGTAGGGATCCCAATGGCTTAAATTAGTAATGCCCGCTTATTATGAGTATGAAGGAAATATCCAGGGGTTAATGATAGCTGGCCTTTGAAGGCAGGAAAAATGGAACAAATGAAAAAAAAATGGATGGCATGATGCTGCTTTCCAATATGTAATTGCTTCTTTCTGATATACTTTGCTAATGAGAAAAAACACCCTCCTGCTGAGACGCGGCTAATGAATGTCTCTAAATAACTCTGCCCTTGCTGAACCCCAGCTTAGGACTTCACTCCAACTGCTCTTTCCTGTCTTTTCCCCTGGTTGTCAATCCACCCACTCTGGCTCCTCCATCATGCCTCCCCCACCATCATTTATTTTTGATTTCCAGATATCCAACAAGAGAAAGATGCCCTCTTCTCCCTTAGCTCTGGCTGGCTGGTGTTTGAAACATATTTGATATTGCCTAGATTTTTCCTTAGGAATTTAAAAAAGAATTCACATTAATCATCTTATGATTATCCATTTCACACCAAAGAATTTATCAAAGAATGAGTCAGCAGGGTGATGGCTGGTGGTAGCCAGAATAGTCTTGGATTCCATTAAGAGGGGCCTCTTTTCCAGGAATAGAGATGATAATCTCATTGTACCCTGCTCTCATCAGACATCCTCTAGAATATTGTGTTCAGGTCTGAATACTGTGGTTTAAAGACATTAATAAGTTGGAGAGTGGCCCAAGAGGGCAACCAGAAGAGTAAAGGGCCTTGAGTCCATGTCATGCAAGGATCTCTCAAAAGAACTAGAAATGGAAAAGAGAAAGGGGGTGGGGAATAGCTGTGTCTAAGTATTGGACAAGCTGTCATGGGGAGGAGAGATTAGGTTTGCGGTTTAGGGACCCAGGCGGTAAAACCAGAGACAATAGCTAGAAATTTCGAAGGACCCAATTTAGGCTAGCTGTCAGGAAAAAATTCCTGTCCTAAAGTGGAGTGGGCCATCTCAGGACACTGGTGGTGGCTTCTAAGATGAACTCGTCACATGTCTTAGTGGGGATTCCTTTCACTGGACTTAATTGTCTCTGAGGACCGCCCCCCCCCCCCCCCCGCCAAGTCTCAAATTCTGTGATTTTATATGTTGTTTTTAAATGGCATTTCTAACTTTTGAACACTTCTTTTTTTCCAAAAGCACCTTAAATTTGTTGTCTCCCAGACTGTTTCTACCTTCTCTGTCCTTCTAACACTGAGTCTAATTATGAGATAATACAGTACTATTTTACTAGTTATGTCATATTATTCTCCTCCATACACTCTAAATTTAACCCAAATTGGACTGCTCTCTGGTCCCTCAACAAATTCCACGCTTTTCCTACCCCCAGGCCTTTGTTTACACTGTTCTCCAAGCTTGGAATATCTTTCCCCTCCCTGTTAACCTGTTCAATTCCAATTTGAAGCTGAAATGTCACCTCTTCCAGCAGCTAGGTGACACAATGGTTAGAGCACTGGGCCTGGAGTCTGGAAGACCTAAGCTTAAATCCAGCCTCAGACCCTTAATAGTTGTATGACCTTAGGCAAGTCACAACTTCTAGTTGCCTCAGTTTCTTCATCTGTAATAATGGCACCCACCTCACAGGGTTATGATGGGGATTAAAGGAGATATTTATAAAGGGTTCTTTCTTCTCCTTCCCATGAAGCTTTCCCTGATTCCTCCTATAAATAACAATGCTCCTCAGATTTCACAAAGCACTTTGTGAGAGAGGTGATTTGGTCTAGTAGATGGTAAGCTGGTCTCGGAGTCAGGAAGGCTGTTCAAATCCTGTCTGAGAGATACTGGCTCTTTGACCCAAGGTAAAAGGTACTTAATAAATATTTGGTGGTGGTGATGGTGACAGAAGCATCTTTATTCATCTTCTTCCCCCCTTGTTTTCTTGTTCTGCTATCCATCCTCCTTGTCCTCTTCATCTTTCCCTTATTTTTCCTCCCTCTTCTTCCTAGGGGAAGGAACTTCCACTCTTCCATTCTTCAATGTTGAAGCCCAGGATTCAACCACACCCTGCAACATTGGCAAAGGACTTTATTTCAAAGCTGCTGCACCTCTGGCTTTTGTTCTATTGATCAGTTGATCAAAGCATTTATTAAGCACCTGCTATTTGCCAGGCACTGGAGATAAAAAGACAAAAGCAAAAATATCCCCTGCCTTCAAGGACCTTGATTCTATTACAGGAGACAATATGGACATATATAAATATATACAAAATAGATACAACAGTTTGGGGGAGGGGAAGGGTATTACCAGCTGTAGGGGGTAAGGGGGTCATCAGAAAAGACTTCATGTAGAAGCAGGGATGAACTGAGTTTTGAGAGAAACAAGTGATTCTAAGAGATGGAAGTGAGGAGTGAATTCATTCCATAAATGGGGGAGCCATACAAAAGCATGTAGACAGGAGATGAGGATAGTGCAGGTAAGGAACATCATCAAGAAGTCCAGTTTGACTGGGTCATACAGGAAGGGAAGAAAAAGAATACACATACACACACACACATATGTGTATATATATATATATATATATATACACACACATATATATATAATGTAATACTACAAGTAATCATAATATTATACAAATAATAGTATGATCATGTAGTATATACATGTATAATATATAATGTAGTATAATATATAATGTAATAGTACAAATAATTCTTATAACAAGTAATTATAATATGTAATAAGGTTGGAAAAATAGGTTGGGGTCAGGTTATGAAGAGCTTTCAGTGCCAAAGAGAGACATTTAGAGGCAATAGGGGGACACTGGAGTTTATTAAGTAGAGGAGTAACATGGTCAGGCCTGTGCTGAAGGAAGATCATTTCTGGCAATTGTGTTGAGTAGGCTTGGAGAGGGGAGATACTTGAGGCAGAAAGACCAATTGGGAGGCTATTACAATATTTGAGGCAAAAAGGGAAGAGAGCTTTAAGGTGGTGGGCATGTGTTCTACTAAGGCTCCCCACAGACCCAGCTGTGAGGAGTACTATTTTACATGGTGAGGGGAGCACAGGGTTCCTTTGTCTGCCTTTGCTTTCTACCAATGGGTTCACAGCACCAAGCTTACCCATGGTAGGTGTAACTGTGAACAAATCAAGTCCCAGCCTGGGTGGCCCAGTTCATACCTAAGGAAGGAGACCACAGAGAGGTCCCCATTTGGGTCAAGGTGAACCAAGCTCAGTAGTTTGGATTCTCATTGAGAAAGATCACACTGGAAACAAGCAGGTAGTAATACATCAATCACTCTTTAACAAGGCACAGAGAGTATGGAGGCAGACAATATGGGGATGGCACGGGAATGAGGTGGGAGAGGAAGGCAAACAGTGGGGAAGAGATGGGAAGGGAAAAGGGCAAATAGAGGCATTTACATGTTCTAATTTAGCTCATAGTTTCTGGATACGCCCTTAATTTGGGAGGCAGTTTTTGGCAAGTGACTTCCACGTTGCCCTTTATGCTCTTAATTCCTGTTTTCTATTTATTGTTACCTTATACTGGCAACTTACAAATTTACTATACTAGTTGGTGGGATGATCGGGGGAGACCATAACAAAAAACAATGTCAACATAGCTTGTAAGAAGAGAGAAAGATAGAAATGTTAGAGATGTTTTAGTGGTAGAAAACACAAATTCTAGCAACCTGTTGGATGTGTGAGTTGGGGGAGATAGAGGAGCTGAGGATAACTTTAAGGTTACAAACACTGATGACTAGATGGCTGGTGGTATCCTCATCTTTGAGAGGGAAGTTAGGGGAAATAGTGTCCTTGCAGCTGGGGAGTAGGATTGAGATAATGGATTCTGTTTTTGATGTGTTGAGTTTGAGGTGCCTATACGATATCAAGTCTGAAACAGACAATAGGACTTGGTGATATGGGACTGGCACTCAGGAAAGAGACTAGGGCTAGAATCATATGCACAGGATAATAATTAAACCCATGGCAGTTCCTGAGGTTGCCAAGTAACTGTTGAGAAGAGAGCCCCATACAGAGCCCTGGGGTACAACCACAGTTAAAGGGTGGGATATGGATGATGAATCAGTGAAAGAGACTAAGAAAACAGTTGGACAGGTATGAAGAGAACTAAGACAGCAGTATTGGAGAAGAGAGATTATCCAGAAGGAAAGGGTAGCCAACAATGTCAATGCTGCAAAGAGATTATTAATGATGAGGATTTGGGGAAGGCGCGAGTGGAACTTTATTCTTCAAAGAAATATGGCTTACCACTGATTCGAATGGATTGCAAGTTCCTACACTAAAAGAGCAGCTACCCTGCACTTGGAGCAACATCTCAGAGTCCCAGGGGCTCCTTCGCTGCACCCCCACCCTCTTAAAGGAGAACAATTAGTTCCCGTTAAATATCTCAGCTATACCTTCCCAATTATCCATCTCCACTTCTAATTCTTCCTCAGTTGTCTTGGGACTATAGGAAACCTTTCACAAGTGTTCTTTGAAAGCCTGATCAGGTTCTTTCACTTCCTTTTCTTTCATTAGGATGCTTTTCTTATCTCAAGCTTCCATCATAACTTTTTTTTTTTTCAACTTCCCCAATAGCCTTCATTCAATCCCTCTTAAGAAGGGTTGTTAAGCTGGAGTCTATAAATGCGGCTGGGGGGAAATACATCTTTGTTTCAATATAATTTGTTTTCTTTGTAATTCTATGTATTTTATTTTATACATTTAAAAACACTGTTCTGGGAAGGGGTCCTTAGGCGTCACCAGACTGCCAGAGGGGTGCATGACAAAAGAAAAGGCTGAAAATTCATGTTCTTGAAGTCTATGATCTTGTTGTTTATCTGACTGAACACTTCTTTTTCTAGGGTTG